GTGATTGGCCTGCCTTGGCCTCCCAAAATGCTGGGATTACAGGCGTGAGCCACCGCACCTGGCCTATGTCAATACTTTTGTGTTGTTCATTGTACTTGCCATGACCCTTAGTTCCTCCTTGAGAGAAGTCACTCATTAATTCATCCATTCATTTACTCGGCATTTATATGGAGGAATATAAGAAGCTGAGAAGACCCTTTGATCCTTGCCCCTAAAGAGTCATCAATTTCTGCAAAGCCCCTCCAGCCCCTAGTTTTCAATGAGGAAGGAGCCCAGGCTCTTCAGCCAGGCTGGGGAACAGATGACTGTTTATTTAGCACCTACTCTGTACCAGGCACAGCACTAGGTGCTTTATCTACTTTCTCTCAATCTGCTAATCCTGTTAACCTTCTGCAGGGAACTTTTATTATAGTTATATTTCAGATGATAAACTGAAGTCTAGAAACTTCAATGCTAAGAAACAGGCCTAGGATTTCAACTCAGGCCTGCCTGAGTCCAAAGCTTGTGCTCTTTCCTCATAGAAGGCTGCCTCTGCTGGATATACTTACCTCCATTTTAGAGAAAAGGAAACTGGGGTGCAGAGATGTTCCCTATACATCCTGAAGAATTCTTGAGGGAGGCTGCAAGAAGCCAAGGCCTCATGTGTGGGAGACAAAGGGCAAATGCAGGGAAGGACCCGTCATGCTGTGTCCCTGATGTCCCAGGAACCTCTCCCATCAGGAGAATTTTTTTATAAGGAAAGGCAGGCAAGCAGAACCACAAGGGCCAGCATGGAATGGTTACTAACAGCAGCCAGCTGTGGAGAAAGAAGGTTCCACCCTTGTCTGTTTGATGGGGTGATTCCACTGTCTGAGGATCTGCTTCTCTCCCTCTCCCAGCTGCCAACATCTGTGAGCCCATTCACCAGATCCATCCAGAGGGGCAGTTGTGGATGAAGAAGGGTCACTGCAAGGTCCCAGGGTCTCAGAGGGCCCTGGGGACGGAGGCAATGATAATTTCCTTTTCAAAAGGCAGAAAAAAGTGTGTCTTCTCAAAATGCCAGGGGAGACTGTTTTTTGCTTGGGTCTAGTATGTTTTCAATAATGCTATCAAATTAAAAAATAGTCAGCAGACCAGGGGAAAACACTATGCATTCTCCTAGAGAATGGTGTCATAATCTAAATTTGGCCAGAGAATGAAGATCCCAAAGTGATTTCATTCAGAAGAAAAAATGCCTAAAAGGGGAAAGGAACTTTGAATTCTGAGAATTTACTCCTGCAAAAGGAACAGGGTATAGCCGAGGATAGTCACAGGAACTATGATAAGAGCAGGTACATGTGAACATTTGTATTAAACACACACTTCATGTGGCAGGAGAAGCTGATGTGAACAAAATCAACTCCTCGAGGTTTTGTTTCATCAGTTTTATTGGTCATTTATCCAGAATTCATCATATAAATCTTTCAAAATAATGAGCTATTACAAGAACAGTTTACAAGTCGGCTCTGACTACACAAATACTTGACACAGGAAACCATTTTTACAAATACATATGTTTTCTTATAATACTTTAATAAAGAAAATAAGTCTGTATACATCTTACGGCAAATTTTATGTAGTCTCTTTTTCCCATTCAATTATCATTTCAGGTTTTCTATTACAGAACGTCCATCACATCCAATAAACCAAATTACAATCTTTTGCTTCTTCTCATTTTCAAATACTATTAAGATTCACACTGTTAAAGGGTTTTTTGGGTTCCTTTTCTAATCTTTCCTGATTTGAAAAGAATCCATGTATCTAGGCTAAAAGAGGTAACTTCAACAATATCCCTCCTGACTAGAACTTCTATCTGATTAATCATTGTTTGGTGAATTATCTTTTCACTTCCTACTTAGGCTAGGCCAGGTGGTAGTTTTACCCCTGCTGATAAAGTCCTGACATTCCTAATAGTTCCTAAACTGCAAATAAAAAACCCTAGAAACAAGAGTGAAATAGAAATATTAAGAAAGCTAAAACACTATCGATTAGAGAACACACTTAAATTCAAGGTCTCTCCCAGGTTGAAGACAGAAAAGCAATAAAGTATAAGGATGTGGCAGTAGTTGTATAAAATACTGAAAATCTGAAAAAGAGTCATCACTTAAGCCAGTAGTATATCATTTCCAAAATGTCAGAGGATACAGAATCTTAGACTCTGTGGCTAGGCTGAACTCAGAATCTTAGACTCTGTGGCTAGGCTGACATTCTTATGCTGTGGCTTTGAAATAGCCTAATAAATATCCACTTGTCCAGCACAAGTAATCATTTAGGCCAGGGGAACTTTACAGAATACTGACCATGTTTACCTGGATAGGAACCACCAGGGCAAACATTTGGCATTCACTCCACTCCTTCACTGTTACTGAAAAGCATCCACTTGGCAAAGCCTGTTGTTTTACTTTTCAGGTAACGTGAATTAAAATTAAGAAACTAGCAGTCTTCTACTACAGTCAACTTCCTGAGTATTCAGCTGCAATTATCCAATATTCTTGAAAGGATGCTGATATGGTTTGGTTGTGTCCCCCCTCAAATCTCAACTTGAATTGTATCTCCCAGAATTCCCACGTGTTGTGGGAGGGACCCAGTGGGGGTGGGAGTAATTGAATCATGGGGGCCAGTCTTTCCCATGCTAGTCTCATGACAGTGAATAAGTCTCATGAGATCTGATGGGTTTATCAGGGGTTTCTGCTTTTGCTTCTTCATTTTTTTCTTGCCGCCATGTAAAAAGTGCCTTTCACCTCCTGCCATGATTCTGAGGCCTCCCCAGCCATGTAGAACTGTAAGTCCAATTAAACCACTTTTTCTTCCCAGTCTTGGGTATATCTTTTTTTTTTTTTTTTTTTTTTTTTGAGACGGAGTCTCACTCTGTCGCCCAGGCTGGAGTGCAGTGGCCGGATCTCAGCTCACTGCAAGCTCCGCCTCCCGGGTTCACGCCATTCTCCTGCCTCAGCCTCCCGAGTAGCTGGGACTACAGGCGCCCGCCACCTCGCCCGGCTAGTTTTTTGTACTTTTTAGTAGAGACGGTGTTTCACTGTGTTAGCCAGGATGGTCTCGATCTCCCGACCTCGTGATCCGCCCGTCTCGGCCTCCCAAAGTGCTGGGATTACAGGCTTGAGCCACCGCGCCCGGCCTTGGGTATATATTTATCAGCAGCATGAAAATGGACTAACACAGTAAATTGGTACTAGGAGAGTGAGGCATTGCTGAAAAAATACCCAAAATGTGGAAGCGACTTTGGAACTGGGTAACAGGTGGAGGCTGGAACAGTTTGGAGGGCTCAGAAGAAGATAGGAAAATGTGGGAAAGTTTGGAACTTGCTACAGACTTGTTGAATGGCTTTGTTGAAAATGCTGATAGCAATATGGACAATAAAGTCCAGGCTGAGGTGGTCTCAGATGAAGATAAGGAAGTTGTTGGGAACTGGAGTAAAGGTGATTCTTGTGTTTTAGCAAAGAGACTAGCAGCATTTTGCCCCTTCCATGGAGATCTGTGGAACTTTGAACTTGAGAGAGATGATTTAGGTTATCTGGCGGAAGAAATTTCTAAGCAGCAAAGCGTTCAATAGGTGACTTGCGTGCTGTTAAAGGCATTCAGTTTTATAAGGGAAACAGAGCATAAAAGTTTGGAAATTTGCAGCCTGACTATGCAACAGAAAAGAAAAACCCATTTTCTGGGGGAGAAATTCAAGCCAGCTGCAGAAATTTGCATAAGTAGCAAGGAGCCTAATGTTAATCCCCAAGACCGTGGGGAAAATGTCTCCAGGCCATGTCAGGGCAGCCCGGAGGCCCAGGAAGAAAAGGTGGTTGCATGGGCCAGGCCCAGGGTCCCCAGGCTGTGTGCAGCCTAGGGACTTGGTGTCCTATGTCCCAGCCACTCCAGGGGGCCAACATACGGCTCGGGCTGTGGCTTCAGAGAGTGGAAGCCCTAAGCCTTGGCAGCTTCCACGTGGTGTTAAGCCTGCATATGCACAGAAGTCGAGAATTGATATTTGGAAACCTCCGCCTAGTTTTCAGAAGATGTATGGAAATGCCTGGATGCCCAAGCAAAAGTTTGCTGCAGGGGAGGGGCCCTCATGGAGAACCTCTGCTAGGGCAGTGCAGAAGGGAAATGTGGTGTCAGGGCCCCCACACAGAGTCCCTACTGGGGCACTGCCTAGTGGAGCTGTGAGACGAGGGACACTGTCCTCCAGACCCCAGAATGTTAGATCCACCAACAGCTTGCACCGTGTGCCTGGAAAAGCTGCAGGCACTCAACACCAGCCGTGAAAGCAGCCAGGAGGGAGGCTGTACCCTGCAAAGACACAGGGGCAGAGCTGCCCAAGACCATGGGAACCCACTTCTTGCATCAGCATGACCTGGATGTGAGACCTGGAGTCAAAAGAGATTATTTTGCAACTTTAAAATTTGACTGCCCTGCTGGATTTCGGACTTGCATGGGCCCTGTAACCCCTTTATTTTGGCCAATTTCTCCCATTTGGAATAGCTGTACCCCTGTTGTATCTAGGAAGTAACTAGCTTGCTTTTGATTTTACAGGCTAATAGGTGGAAGGGACTTGCCTTGTCTCAGATGAGACTTTGTACTGTGGACTTTGGGATAATGCTGAAAAGAGTTAAGACTTTGGGGGACTGTTAGGAAGGCGTGATTGGTTTTGAAATGTGAGGACATGAGATCTGGAGGGGCCAGGAGCAGAATGATATGATTTGGCTGTGTCCCCACCCAAATCTCAGCTTGAAATTGTATCTCTCAGAATTCCCACGCGTTGTGGGAGGGACCCAGGGGAGGTAATTGAATCATCGGGGCCAGTCTTTCCTGTGCTATTCTCGTGATAGTGAATAAATTTCACAAGATCTGATGGTTTATCAGGGGTTTCTGCTTTTGCTTCTTCCTCATTTTCTCTTGCCGACATGTAAGAAGCACCTTTCGCCTCCCGCCATGATTCTGAGGCCTCCCCAGCCATGTGGAACTGTAAGTCCAAGTACTCTTTTTCTTCCCAGTCTCAGGTATGTCTTTATCAGCAGCATCAAAACAGACTAATACAGATGCTTTAAGCAAGCCCTTGTCCAATAAGGTATTTAACAGCACTTAGGGACTATTAGATGTCCCATTTCTCTTCTCTTTCATTTCTCTTATCTCTTCTCACCCCAGTGTAACAAATAGCTACAGGTTTTTACCAAAATGCTGCAGCAGTAGTTGGAAATGAGTTATTTTGCATTACTAAAGTGTTCAATCACATTTTCACGGGTCACATGTGCATATAACCAGGAGATGGCCAAATAACATCTATTGCAGTGATTTTGCAAATTCAGCATAGTCAATGTATCCATCATTGTTCTTGTCATCATCTCTCAAAACACCATCTATTATGTTAATCAGTTCATCTTCACTCATTAGTGGTGCCTGTTCACTCCCTTCCTACAAAATACAAATTAAACAATGATGAGTTGCACATTTTATCAGAAGAAGTGCTTAGCTAATGTCCAAAATATCCATGTTCTTTCATGGGCAGTGTTTATAAAAAAAAAAAGAAAAACAAAACAAATGTCCACGCTCATATGTGTCCAAAAACTTTCAATGGAGTATGGGGCGACTTCTAGGAATATATATACACACACACATATATATACATATATATGCATATATATAGAGAGAGAATATATATTATTGAGTCAATTTGTAATAATCTAGTTGAGAAATTACATTTGCCAGATAAAAGAAGGCCCTTCGAAATAGGCTTTTGCTTATTTGTTTCATTACGGCTCATTCTTTTTTAATTGGAAAAGTGCCAGTCCTCCTGAGGGTCAGTTCTGTGCACAAATTTGCCTGATAAAATAGAAATAGTGACGAATTGGACAACAAGTTGGCATCCAAACAAGAGGAAGAAGGCACTGCTGATCAGCAGAACCTGTTACGATCTTTGAGGAGAAAGTATTTCCCATGCTCCAAGACCAGGGATAGTGGGCTGAGGCCGCTCACATCCTTGGCTGGTTCTTCCTTTGTCACATCTCCCACATTCACCCTTCCCTTTCCTATTACCACCACCATCCTCATCTGCCAGGACTGCCGAACGCTAATTCCTCCGCCTAACATTAGTCTCTCCTCATGTTCTTTGGTGTGTCTCCCACAGCCAAGGATCTTCCCTAAATAATGCCATTCTCCTGGGCAAAACCGTTCATGCTCCTTGCTGCCTTCAAACCTCACCTGCACTCCTAGCAGCCAATGTAACCCCACCCACCTGGCTGACTTTGCCTTGCTTCCTCTCTATAGAGGGCAGTGTGGCAGAAGGGGAATGACATTAAATGTGGAGGCACAAGGATTTGGTTTTTTTTTTTTGGAGACAGGGTCTGACTCTGTCACCCAGGCTGGAGTCCAATAGCATGATCACAGCTCACTCCAGCCTCGACCTCCCAGGCTCAGGTGTTCCTCCAGACTACCCTCCCACCCCCGTCACGCCAGCAGCTGGGACTATAGGCGAGCATCACTATGCCCAGCTAATTTTTGTAGAGATGGGATATCGCCATGCTGCCCAGGTTGGTCTTGAACTCCTGGACTCAAGCGATCCTCCTGCCTCAACCTCCCAAAGTGCTGGGATAACAGGCATGAGCCACTGTGCTTAGCCTGGCACAAGATCTTGATTTCAGTTTCCTCACCTAGAAAACAGGAGGGTTTTGTTTGTTTTTTGTTTTCTGAGACAGGGTCTCGCTCTATTGCCCAGGCTGGAGTTCAGTGGCAAGATCGCAGCTTGCCGCAGCCTCAACCTCTCAGGCTCAAGTGATCCTCCTACTTCAGCCTCATGAGTAGCTGGGACTATGGGCACGTGCCACTGCAAATGGAAGTATTAACAATGCCTGCCACTGCCTACTCAAGATGTTGCAAAGATCCAACGAGATCTCTAACCTACTTGAAAGTGCTTCAGAAACTTTGGAGCACTGTACAGTATCACATAGCCCTCAATTACTGCCATGTCCCTGAATCCCTTGGTCTCAATTCACCATTCTTCCCAAATGAAATAACTTCTCCCTTGCTCTGCAGTTTGAATGCGGTCTTTTAGGCACTAACTCTCATACTCTGGTGTGTAACAGTAATGCCTGTAGCACTTAAAGATACAAATGCCCAGCCCTGGGACTTCTGCCTCAGCAAGTTATCCTTTTCCGGAAGGATCGCTGAACAGAAAGAGGCACAACACAGAAGAGAAAGCAGCAGCAGCACCTTTCTTTTCTTTTCTTTTTCTTTTTTTGAGACAAGGCCTCGCTCTGTTGCCCAGGCTGAAGAGCAGTGGCATGATTATGGCTCACTATAGCCTCGACATCCTGGACTCAAGCAATCTTCCCACCTTGGCCTCCTGAGTACCTGGAACTACAGGCATGTGCTACCAGGCCTGGCTAATTTTTTTAATTTTTGTTTTGTTTGTTTTGTAGAGATAGGGTCTCACTATATTGCCAAGGCTGGTCTTGAACTCCTGGCTCAAGTGATCCACTTTGGCCTCCCAAAGTGCTGGGATTACAGATGTGAGCCACCATGCCCAGTGGAGAAGCAGCACTCTTGGCACATAAGGACAACACAAGTCAACAAGATGAGGGACCAAATTAACAAAGGGAGGCCTTTCTGTGATATAGCCCCCCAAACCACCGCCACACCTACCTCCTTATGGACATGAGTGATGGCTGTGGAGAGTTCTAAGCCATCAAGCAAATTATTGCCATCATAATCATGCATTTTGAAGTAATGGAGCTGCAGTTCTTGTGGTGACATCTCCGCCTCTGGTTTGTTGATGACACCTTCTAGATGTTCCATGATATGCCTAAAAATCAACAGTCAGGTTCAGGCCAATTGGCAGAGACACGGGGATCATGCTGAAATCTTAAGGACTCTGAAAAGTTCAAGTTCTTAAACTTCCTCCAGCTCAGAAAAACACCAGCAATGGCAGACCACACTCGAGGATTACATAGAGATAGACAGGGCCTTGACAGGAGCAGGGAAAGTCAAACAGACCATCTGTTATGCTGGCAGATTTAGGGTATTCTTTCCCCTTTATTATTAAAACTTTGTTATAACATATTCAGGCCACCAATTTAAAAATATGTCTTTTAAAACAATTTTTTTTTTTTTTTTTTGAGATAGGGACTCACTCTGCCACCTAGGCTGGAGTGCAGGAGCGTGATCTCGGCTCACTGTAGCCTCAACTTCCCAAGCTCAGGTGACTCTCCTACTTTAGCCCCCCAAGCAGCTGGGACCATAGGCATGTACTGCCACACCCAGCTAATTTTTTAATTTTTTAGTAGAGACAGGGTTTCCCTATATTGCATAGGCTGGTCTCGAATTCCTGGGCTCAAGCAATCCACCTGCTTCAGCCTCTCAAAGCACTGGGATTACAGGTGTGAGCCACTGCACCCAGCCTTAAAAACAAAGGATAACTGAGTATAATGCGTGAGGCTAACTGGCGCAAGACAAAAGCTGCAAGAAATGATTCAATGTTTGAACGTGTTGATTAAAAAAAGGTCTTGTTATAGTCAAGAAACCTTAGCTATTTTCTGAATTCTGCTACTACGACTGTGTATGTGTACCTGTGTGTCTATTTGTATGTGTGTGTGTCTGTCTGTGATGAAAAAAGGAGAGACTGGATTCAGACAAGTAATTTGTCCCATTTGGGCCTAAAGATCTTCCACCTGTGATACAATGATGAAAAAAGAATACCTGACTTAGAGGTGGCAATAAGGAATAAGAATCATCCTTGAAGAATGTCAAGGAGCCATAGAAACAGGAAGAAGGAAAGGAGGACTGAGCATGCCCTTGCTGCTGGCTCAGCTGCAGATGATGGGAAGGCCCCTGGACCACAGCCCGGGCTGAATACGTACTCTTGGTCGTGCACTGTGTTCTTATCCAGGCCCATGCTGCCGGGTTGGGAGAAGCTGGCTGCAGGCTCCTCAGCCCTGGCGCCTGGGGCACAAAAGGCCCAGAGCAGGCCACACAGGAAGGGGGTTCTGAGCAGGGATTTCATGGTCATCAATATCTGTGAGACGGGAAACACAGAAGAGGAAGGCAGAGCATCAGAGCCAAGGTTTCGTTCAGGGCTTGACATGGCATGATCCTGGGAAACCTGATGAAGCAGTGAGGTTAGGAAGAGAGCTTGTCAAACAGGGCCCAATGCCAGCTCTGCTTTGAGACTATGGGATGGCCCTGGGCACTCCAAGTCACTCAAATGGCAGGGGAAGGCTCATGAGGTTTCCTGAAGTGCCTGCAGAGTGCCAAGCAACACGTGAAAGCTTGAAGGGACTGGAAGATTATTCCTGCCTCCCAGAAGCTACAGTCCACTGAAAGAAATATTTTCTACCAAGAGCACCAGGAAAGGCAGCCAGCAAGTTATACCAGAATATCAGAGAAAGAGAAAACCCTCTAGGAGTTCAGGGGAAGAAATCTCCTCCGGGTGAAGGAAAATCAGAGAAGGCTGATTGAGCTGGTGACACTGCAGCTGGGTCTGGACAGATATGCAGGGACTGAAGGACCACAGGAATGGTGGGAGCAGAGTGGCAGGTGCCCACAAACGGGAAAGAAACTACAAGTAGTTCAGCTGGGCTGCAGCCTAGAGGGTAGGAAGCAGACAGGACAGAGGTGGCTCCAAGGGTTAGACAGGCTGCACTGGACATGGCTTTGCACACTAGGCCAGGGCTTGACATCTCCTGCAGAGAAAGAGGACAGTCACTTACAATTCGTGAATGGGAGGTGAGATCAGAGCTTGGTTTCAGAATGACTCATCTGGCGGCATAGCGGGGAAGGCATGAAGTGGCAAAAGCAAGACTAGAGGCAGAAGCATGGTAGCCAAGGGAAGTGGTAAGGCGGGTCAGATCAAGGTCTGCGGCAGTGGACAAGGAGAACACCTTAACTCCTCCTTCTGTACCTCCTGGTCGGTGACAGTGGCAAGTAACTTAACCACGGTGAACGGGCACTGGAAAGGAAAGTTACAGAGAAATCAGGATTCTATCGGGGACTCCCAGGGTTTGGCCACACTTGGAATTGTGGTCAATAAGATGACACAGTCAGCTACAGAGCAAGTTCTCAGAGGGCAGGGAGAACTTTAATCCCACCAGTATTACCTGCCAAGAGTCAGGCAGGCCTTTAATAATTGTTGATTCAATGGAAAGTCTTGGTCTGTCCTAGGGCTGACAGACTGACCTCAAAAAGGAAGGTGAAGGGCAGCCAGGTGACCTACATACAAAAACAAAAGACCTGACCAAACACTTGCTTCCCAAAAGGCAAAACAGATTCTGCTAGATAACAAGGCCAGGGATTTCTAATAGGCCAATTGTAGTCCACAGCCCCAAACCAGCAGTGGTAAAAACAAACCATAAGGCACTGGTCATCCCCTTACACACGCTACACACAGGGCTCAGCTGCGAAGCTGTAGCTGTCTCTGTGCCTGGGGCTGGGAGGTAGAGGTGTTATAGCCCCTCTTACCTATCCTAAAAGGCTCTTGGGGCAGAACCCTGAGAGTGTGAGTGTGCCACCCTACAACACTTAGAAAAATTTCCCAAATCCATTTTTCCCATTACCAGTATTGCTTCCCATGGCCCCCTCCTTAAAGGGGACAATGGTCACTGGGATGTCTAACTTCCAGGATAGGCCAGCCATGGTGGCTCATACCTAAAATCCCAGCACTTTGGGAGGCTGAGGCAGGAGGATCGCTTGAGGCCAGGAGTTTGAGATCAGCCTGGACAACACAGCGAGACCCCATCTCTACAAAAAAAATAAAAAATTAGCTGAGCATAGCAGTGCACTCCTATAGTCCCAGCCACTTAGGAGGCTGAGATGGGAAGATTGCTTAAGCCCAGGAGTTCAAGGCTGCAGTATACTCTAGCCTGGGTAACAGAGTGAGACCCTGTCCCCTACTACCAAAAAAAGAAAGAAACTTCCAAGATGCTAAAAAGCACCTAGAATCTAGTCTACTCCTAAACAGTGACATCGAAATGCAATCTGTCTCAGACCTTTTATTTTTTAATTTTTATTTTTTTGAGACGGAGTCTTGCTCTGTCGCCAGGCTGGAGTGCAGTGGCACAATCTTGGCTCACTGCACCCTCTGCCTCCCAGGTTCAAGCAATTCTCCTGCCTCAGCCTCCAGAGTAGCTGGGATTACAGGTGTGTGTCACCACATCCAGCTAATTTTTGTATTTTTAGTAGAGACAGGGATTCACCATGTTGTCCAGGCTGATCTCGAACTCCAGACCTCAGGTGATCCACCCACCTTGGCCTCCCAAAGTGCTTGAGCCACCATGCCCGGCCATCTCAGACCTTTCATACCCGTAGTTTAAAAAAAAAAGCAATCTGTCATAAGTAATAGGAAAGAATGCTCAATATATATTGAATGAAAAAGAACAGGCTGCAAAAAAGCTATAAATAATATTATACTTTTGTAAAATAAAAATGTATATTTCATACACTAATAACAAAGATTATCTTGAGACATGAGATTAGAATTGTGATTTTCGGCCGGGCGCGGTGGCTCACGCCTGTAATCCCAGCACTTTGGGAGGCCAAGGTGGGTGGATCATGAGGTCAGGAGATTGAGACCATCCTGGCTAACACGGTGAGACCCCATCTCTACTAAAAATACAAAAATAAAAATTAGCCAGGTGTGGTGGCGGGGGCCTGTAGTCCCAGCTACTCGGGAGGCTGAGGCAAGAGAAAGGCGTGAACCAGGAAGGCGGAGCTTGCAATCGCTACATTTTTTTATGAATATGTATTCAATGTAATCTATCCCATAATTTTGTCCCAATACTATATGGATGGGATACAAACGGAGTTTCCGGTTAATTCTTATCTCCAGAAAATAATTTAGAAACAGAAACGACACTTCCAATTTTACCAAATAAAAGTGCCCAGACCTTGGTCAGGAACAATGGCTCATGTCTATGATCCCAGCACTTTGGAAGGCCGACGTGGGCAGATCACTTGAGGTCAGGAGTTTGAGACCGGCCTGGCTAACACGGTGAAACCCCTCTCTACTAAAAATACAAAAAAAATTTGCTGGGCGTGGTGGCGTGTACCTGTAATCCCAGCTATTTGGGAGGCTGAGGCACAAGAATCGCTTGAACCCAGGAGACAGAGGAGACAGAGGTTGCTGTGAGCCAAGATCACACTACTGTACTCCAACCTGGGCAACAGAATTGAGACTGTCTCAAAAAAATAAAAAAAAAAAAGTGTCCAGACCCTGATAAGGCCACTGCCACTGTACCTGGTACCAGAAAACAAGGCTTCAGGTAACTCCTAGCAGTGACTGCCTAGGCCATAGCAGAACAACTTGTTCTGACCACACATCTTAGAGTTCTGGGACAGGAAGGATCAGAGAAGGGAATCCAGCTCCTCCTAAGTCTTTTAGACTCATTTACATCAAATGTCTCTTCCTCTAGTGAGGCCTTTCCAAGTCTAGCGTAGGTATTCTTCCTGCAGGCTCCCAAGTGCTTCCGTTCAGAACGCTCCTGTCCACAAGTGATGACAGCTGCAAATGAATTCTTTTTTTTTCCTTTTGTTTTCTTGTGTGTTAATGAATTCTTGAAAAACTGCCTGATTACTTGTCAGTGCCCCTTGCTGGATGGGCTTCGAGAGGACTCGGACTGAATCCACATTCCTAGTATGAGGCACAGTGCCTGGAACAGAAGCTGCTGGTTCTTAGCCTGTGTGCCACGGTCCTTGGGGAGCTGGGGGGACCACCTTTGCAGATATGCGGCCAATTTTTAATGTCACTGTAACTGAAGATGAAACTTTTCTTTTGGAGATATCTATCATGGAACCCATGGCACCATTTCCTCCAACTATGTGATTGGATGCTTAACATATCCATTTGGTGTGTGTGTGTCGGGGGCGGGGGAAATTCTATTTAGATAACATCAAAAAGCAACCAAGTGATTAATAATGTAGTAACTATGAGTCCAAATTATCCCTTCTTTAAGGGAGGCAGGATAAAGGCCAAGAACCACTGATTTTTGAACTTGTCTCATTTTGGTTTGGTGCTGCAGGTTTCTAACTATTGGAATGTAACAAAAGCCGAATCGATAAACATACAGAAAAAAAATTCCTCCAAGCGGTACATTGAAAACAGGAAATCAGGCTGGGCATGGTGGCTCATGCCTGTAATCTTAATACTTTGAGAGGCTGAGGCAAGTGAATCACTTGAGCCCAGGAGTTCAAGACCAGCCTGGACAACATGGCGAGACTCCCTCTCTAATTAAAAAAAAAAGAAAAAAAAGAGAGAGGAAGAAAGGAAGGAAGGCAGGCAAGGGAGGAAAAGATAGAAAACAGGGAATCTAACTGCCACATAACAAATTAAACTGCTGACAGTCAAAAGAAAGCATAAGCAACTCCCTCTGCCCAAATAACAGGTTGCATCATCCATGCTCTAACTACTTAGCTCAAGGCCATGGGCAAACAGCCTGAAGATAAGCCCCAGCTCATTGGCCTTCTTTAGGAAATTATAAAGGCCAGGCTGAAGAAAAACGCAAGGGAGGAGAGATTTCTGCAAAGGGCCTTCAGAGCACAACCCATATCTTGAGACAGCCCTCACAAGGCACAGCCTCAGTCCTGGGAGGGCAGTGCTGGACCATCAGCAGCAGTGCGCCTCCCAGTGCCTTGGCTGTTACAGTGCTTCCCTCCTGCTCTGCCAGCCTCTTCCTGGACCACAGCCTCCCCTCCTACTGGTTCCATCTGTCCATCTCCACCTTCCTTCCAGGACAGGTTCAAATGTCACCTCAGGATTCTTCCAGCCAACACCAATTGATCTCTCATCCGACCTCAGTCTGCAGCCTCTCACACTCATTTGACCTGAACATACGATCACAGGTTGTTCTCCTTTTCCATTTTTCTCTTTTTCTACCTCTCTGAGAGTCAGGACCCTCGCTCCTCTGTCTCTCATTTACCTTATTGATTTCTGCTGAGCTGACCTGGCTCATGGTTGAATCAGGGCAGTGAGTCTTGGCACCTAGGTGTATGGTTCCCTATCCCACAGCAGATCTAGCCTAAGTTGGAACTTCCTTTGGGGCCTTCCAGTGGTTTGACCTGGCCCACCCCTTCCCTCCTGTTGTGTTATCAGTCCTATCAGCACTAAGAGTTTGGGGCCAGCCTTCCTGCCAGCAGCTAGTAGCAGCTTCTCCTTCAGATCAGGGGCCCTTGGTTAAGAATTCAAACCCAAAGCAGCCACACTCACCAACATCCAGACATCCTGTACCCACAGCCAATGCCAAAGAAAAACTGACCAGTACTTTCTCACTTACCCCTGTTATGGTCCTGCAACGAAGGCAAGAAAATAACCAACTTTCTAGGCTAAAGAAACCTTTACACGGACTGAGGGTTGAGAATTGGTTCGAAAAAGCAGGTATTTAATATTAATAACTTGATCTATTTGTTCATCTAGGGAGCCCAAGGAGCACCCATGCTTCATTTACACATTTAATTACCGTACTAATAGCACAAGGTGCTGAAGATAGTAATATGACCTCGATAAACTCCTCTCACACAGATTACAACCTGGCAGAAAAGAGAGACTAGCAGGCAGACACCCATGGGGTACCACCAAATCACCAACTCACAACTGAAATAACACATGAAGGATAAGAAGGATGATGTCAACCAAAGGGCAGTGCCTCCGACATGACGAACATATTGAAGGAACATGTAAACCCAGAAGGAACTTGTTCTGATCCAAGAACCAAAAAAGATACAGTATGGTTGAAGACACAGTAGAGTGGAGACAAATGAATCTAAAGTTAAAAGAAGACAGGTCATGAAGGGCTTTGTAAGCTCTGTTCAAGAGCTTGGAAAAGCAATGAGAATCCAACGAAGGGTGGTAAGGGAACAGGGGGACAGTTCTGATGACATGATCAGATTTCTGTTTTAAGACCACAGCTCTAGCCTCTCTGTATAGTACAAACTATAAGGATGAAGAAGAGATGCAGGCATCATCAGGAAGACACCGAAGTAGTTCAGAGGAGAAAAGGTGGCCTGAACTAGGTAGGGTAGGGGGATGGGACTGGAGAATGGTATCCAAGACAGCTTTGCAAGGGATTAGATGTGGGTGGGTAAAGGAGTGCAGCAAGTGAGAATGATGCCCAGTTCTGGCTTGGGCACCTGGGTGGATGGCACTGCCATGCCCAGAGAGGGAATACAATAGGAGATCAGCTTCCCCCGCCGGGCACGACAGGACCCGAGGTTTCCCCCAGAGGGAGATGGGGGAACAAGGAGCAGATGGAGAGTAACGCCTCCAGCCCGCTGCTTTTGGTCCGGGCCAGGAGCAGCGTCCACCCGACACAGCTGGTCCCACAGGCCGATCCTGGGGCCCCCAGGGACCAGCGAAGGGGGCGGAGATCTGCCCAGCCGGCCCCCTCTGGCTCCAGAGCCCAGATGGGGCACAGGCTTCCGCCCTGGGAGACAGGCCGTGCTCCTAGCCGTTTAAGCGTCCCGAGACCGCCTGGGGGCCCAGCCCCCGCCCCTAGACCGCTCCAGCCTCTCATCTTGAGCCCAAGCCCCCAGCCCAAAGGAGAGGCGCCGGGATCCCGCCCGCTGAGGACTGTACGCTAGTTCACTCACCCTTACGGTCTCCGAGGCAGACGCGAAGCCTTCCAACGTGAGCCTCACCAGCCCCCGTCCCCAGAACGCTCTTCCTCGGCCTCGCCCCGCCCCCTCCCCCTCCCCCCTCCCCCCCCCAACCTAGCCTGCGCACGCGCGCTCCCTACCGCTCGCCCATTGGCGCCGCCGGGCCCCTCCCGCTGCGCGACGGCGGGCTGTGAGGAAGGCTCGCGTGAGTCCACGTGTAATGGGCCCGCGCCCAGCACAGGCAGGACTGACGTAGTTCTTCTACCTGCTTTCCCGAGGGCGACACTCGGCTCCACTCCAGTTGGGCCGCTGGACGCCCTAGGGGCCCGGCAGGTTGCTAGGCAACCCCGGAAGCCCTCAGGGACGTAGTTCCACGTGCGACGTAGGATGGCGGATCCGGATGGGGCGGACTCCAAAGCCGGCTCCCAACTCCGCTCCGCCTCTGCTATACAGGGCCGTTGGTTCAGGTATCTTGGTTCGTCCTGGAGCAAGTTGGGAAGAAAGATAATAGGAATGCTAATTCCTTCCTAATGAAATGACCAGAACACGCTGGAGCCGGCCTTGGACGCTACGTTTCAAGATTGCCTGCTTCCAGCTTCTGCCAGCCCCACTGCACAAGTTGCGGCAGCTGCTGTACCTACCTGTTCGCTTCCACAGGAGTCCCAGCAAGACTATGCGACCCAGTTCAAATACCACTTTCCCTGTACCGTTCGTGAAGTCAGCAGCTTTTGTCATTCAAGAGAGGACAAATTACTTAAAAACAGACTCATGAACAAATAGGGAAACGAAAACATCATCCCTGTATAATCCTGCCCTTACACCTGTGCTCCTATACAAGATTAACATTCAGTGAGTATCTATTAACCTGATGGATAAATAGTGTAGGACGGTCGTTTCGTTTTTTTGTTTTGAGACGGAGTCTCGCTCTGTCCCAGGCTGGAGTGAAGTGGCGTAATCTTGGCTCACTGCAACCTCCGCCTCCCAGGTTCAAGCTATTCTCCTACCTCAGCCTCCCGAGTAGCTGGGATTACAGGCGCACGCCACCATGCCCGGCTAATTTTTGTATTTTTAGTAGAGACGGGGTTTCACTATGTTGGCTAGGCTGGTCTCGAACTGCTGACCTTTTGATCCTCCCGCCTCAGCCTCCCAAAGTGCTGGGATTACAGGCGTGAGCCACCGCGCCCGGCAGGACCGTGGTTTTTTTTAAAGCCCTTCTCCCATTTCTGTCCATAAAGGTGCATAATCGTTTTTCAGATGAGCCTGGGTCCGGACAGGAAAGACAAAGGAAGTGGCTAAGTAGTTAGATGCCTTGAAAGTTGGCTAACGCCACTGCCATTGACTGTCTCATACCTTTTCCCACCTTCATCTGAGATTGAAATCTGTCACCCCATCCCTGAGAAAAATCCCATAATCCCTAATGTTTTTTTCTTTTTTTAAAGAAAAGAATCTCCATGTTGCTCAGCTCGTCTCGAACTCCTGGGTTCAAGCAATTCTCCCACCACCTCCGCCTCCCAAAGTGCTGGGATTACAGGGGTGAGCCACCGCACCGGGACAAAGAATCCCTAAGTTTTGAGGAAACTCTATTAATTCAAGACCCATTCTTCTTTCCTTACTCTGAACTTTGGGTTAGTTTGATCTAGTTCCTTCTACCCTGCACCTGCCATTCATCCATCTCTTCATCCATTCATCCACCCCTCCTTTTGTTCATTTATTCATTAATTCAATAACATTTCTTGAATATCTTCTATGTACTATGCACTCTACTAGGAGCTACTAGAGATATAAATAAGACAAATGAAGTGTCAAGAAGCTAGTGTCTGGTAGATGGATAAAGTGTCCTCATTCTAGCCATTGCTTTCATTTTTTTCCTATGGATGTTATCCTCTGTTATGTCTCTCTTAAATCGACAGTCACTCCCTCTCTACCAGATAATTCCCATCAACATATAAACTTGCTCTATTTTCTCCCCCACCATACCACTGAAACTGCAATCTCCATGCAAATCTAGTGGTCTCTTTGATCTCTTGTTTTTATTTTACTTGCCCTCTCAACACTTTTATCAAAGCCAACCACTCTCACTTAGAAACACTTTCTTCTCTTGTTTTCTGACACCACACACTCTGGGTCCTCCTGCTACCTCTCTGGTTATCCTTTCTTGGGCTTCTTAATTGGCTTCTCAACCTATAAATATCAAAGTGTCCAGGGTTCTGTCCTGAGTCACCTTCTCTACCCTCTCTTCCTGTGTGAGTTTACCTAGTCCTATGCTTTAGATACCATTTATAAATAGATGACTCCAAAATATGTCTCTCTGACAGTGACCTCTGTGTGTAATTCCTAACTCCTGTAAAATAACTGCCTACTTGATGTCTCCATATGAATGTCAGACTGGCATCTCAAACGTAATGTGTCCCCCCAAAATCTTGATTTTTCACCCCCAAACCTGCACCTCTCTCAGTCTTGTCCATTTTAGTAAATGTCACTGCTACTCATTCTGTTGTTCAAGCTAAAATTCTATGAGCTATTCTTGATTTCTCTCATTCCTTTACCTTTAAATCCTTTAGCAAAGCCTGTTGATGCTATCAAAGTATATCCTGAGTCTTTGACTTCTTTCCACCTCCACTAAACCATTCTAGTCCAGTAGTAGATGATGCTGCCGGACTACTTGAGAGAGAGCTTCCTAACTGACCATCCTGCTTCCATTCTTGCCCCACTATGGTCCATGAGTGAGAAGCCACCTTTGATTAAGTCATTTTATAGTGGGTGTTCTGTAACTTGTAGCTGAACCCATTCCTAACAGGCAAATAATTTGGTACAGCAGCAGGATGCTAAAAACAAGATACTAAAATGTGGAATTGGCTAACTGGAGGTTAAGGTAGCCAGTGTTAAAAGACTCTATTTCAAACTGGAAAGTCGGTGACACTTACAAGCAGTAGTGAAACTGTCACTTGCTGGACCTTGGATACAGACTACATGCCAACCAAAGCTATATTTTTGGAGAAATCTCAGGAGCAATGTGGAACATTAATGAGTATTGCCTTTTTTAGTAGCTTTCAGCAAACTCCTTCAAGAGAGGGGCAACTCTAGATTAGAAATAACTAATTTGAAAGCAGAGATTAAAGAAAGTAAGGACTTGGTAAGAGAGGATCTCTTTACCTGCAGCCTACTATTTAAGTTGGCCGAGAGTCTCATAACTTGGAACCTTGCTGAAATACCCCATTTACTTTGTGTCCTCAGGTTGAAACTAGTACAAGTAGAGACAAAGAGGTAGCTGTATCAGGAGATAGGACGGCCATCCTAAGATACTAGAATGGCCTCTAGGCGCCATCTCTTTCCTCAGCTGTTTTGAATTGTCTCAAGACAATGTTTTACCTATGTAGGGGATTCTAGAGTGGATGAGAATAGGGGTGAGAATAAGATTTCAATTTACACCTTTTTAGTATTGCTTTGATTTTGTAAACTATGTATTACTTATTTGGAAAAATAAATAGAAAAATATTGCATAAAAACAATTTAAAGACTCTAGATAGGCCGGGCGAGGTGGCTCATGCCTGTAATCCCAGCACTTTGGGAGGCTGAGGCGGCAAATCACCTGAGGTCAGGAGTTCGAGACCAGCCTGGCCAACATGGTGAAACCCCATCTCTACTAAAAATACAAAATTAGCTGGGTGTGGTGGCACATGCTTGTAATCCCAGATACTTGGGAGGCTGAAGCAGGAGAATTGCTTGAACCCAGGGGTCAGAGGTTGAGGTGAGCAGAGATCGCACCATTGCACTTCAGCCTGGGCAACAAGAGCTAAACTCTGTCTCTAAATAAATAAATAAGATTTTAGATAAGTTCTTTGTGATTACGATACATGAAATTGATCGGAAGTCTAACAAATGATTGAGGTAATCCTGTGTCCCTAAAATCTCAAGCTTGGTCAACAACAGTCTGTTGCTGTTCAGCCCTGTGGTAATCTCTGAACCCTGAAATTCTTTCCAACAGGGAGTAGGATGCAAAAGGTGTGCGTTCTGCACAACTAGAGGAAAAAACAAGGGTGCGGTTTCCAGATTCTCCAAATGAGAACTTAATACACTGCCACCAAAAAAACTGCAGTTTCTTTTGTTTAGAGAAAGGGTCTTGCTCTGTCACCCTTGCATTGCATGAGGGTGACCTCAATGGGTTACATGTTCTAGGCTCTGCTGTCAGCTGGGATGGGGCTTTGTATTTCTCTCTCCCTTATCCGTATTTCTGATAAGAGTGAACTGTGGTGTTAAAAGCTTGGAATGTTGGCATGTGTCGTGGTGTTCTGAATTCAGATATACTATAAACTGGGGTGGTGAAAATGATGGCCATCTGCATTTGATGACCTTGGTTCTTCCATCTCTGACTTTATCAAAGCACACATCACTCCTAATGAAAAGTCTGTGTTGATTTCTTCAAATTCATGTTAGGGGGAAGGTATGTGTATTAATTATGTATACATTAATACACAATGTATGTATTAAGTCACATAAATCAGCATTCCTTAATATCCCTTTTGCCTGCCTCTCTTCTCTCATCATGTTGTTCTTGTTTGGGGTTTTTGACATTAGTTATTCTAGATAAACATTCTCTTCTTCAGTCTTACCCTTTTTTTGAGACGGAGTCTTGCTCAGTCACCCAGGCTGGAGTACAGTGGCATGATCTCGGCTCACTGTATTCTTTGCCTCCTGGGTTCAAGCAGTTCTCCTGCCTCAGCCTCCCAAGTAGCTGGGATTACGGGCAACCACAACCACACCCAGCTAATTTTTTGTATTTTTAGTAGAGATGGGGTTTCACCATGTTGGCCAGGCTGGTCTCGAACTCTGAACTCAGGCGATCCACCTGTCTCAGCCTCCCAAAGTGCTGAGATTACAGGCGTGAGCCACCATGCCTGGCCTTAGTCTTAGCCTTTAAAAAGAAAAAAAAATAGATACATTTATCAAAAATTTGATCACGCTGACATCCCATATCTCTTGAAGTTTCCCCTGAACTTGCCTATCTACTTGAACACCTCCTTCAAAGGCATTTTCATTGTGAATTTTGTGTGGCAAACTTCTGAGGTCTCCCCTGCCTGAGGATATCTGTATTACTCTCACATTAAAATGAAAATGTGGCTGTCTACAAAACTTCAGAGTTCTTTTCC